GTTTAAGTAATTGGTTCAAGGTCACAAAGTTAGTAAATAGCGGCATCAAGGTTTGAACCCAGGCAGCTGGACTCAAGAGTCTAAACAACTTTCATTTTAAATTTTGCATCTTTCAAGATATATCACTTACAGTTTCCATCTTCATCACTTTCTTCCATACTTCAGAGCTGCATATGTAAACCTCTTGATCATATAAATATTTATGGATTCTCAGCATTTTGAGCACATGCTGAGAGATTTTGTAGTGTTGAAGACAAAGAAGCTCTTTAAATACATCCAATCTTGCCACTATTGATTTTGAATAGCATCTTAATTTGTTACCTTTTAAAAACCATATTGTACTTTCTTTCAGGACAGCTAAATTAAATGTCTTATGTTGATCCCCTGGGTTTTCTCAGTTTCCATTTATCAGTTTCCTTTTATATGAAGAGATGCTAATGGGTAACCTTACATTTTGTAAGGCATATTTTTGAAGATATACAAGTGAGAGTTTGGTCTGCACACCCTCATTAGAGCTCTTTATTTTCCATGTGGAGGAAGAGATGCCTTAGGGCTTCTGAAAAAACAGGCTTTTATTTTTATAGAGAAGAAACTTCCAGAACATGCCACGAGCAAATGCTCTGTCAAGTCTAGTTCTTTCCCCCATTACTTAAGTGCAAATGGACCACATTTGAAGAGGATAAGTAGCAGAACAACGCTCCCCACAAGGGGATTTTGAGGTGCTCTGAAAACCAGACTGACATAATCCGTAGAGAAGTTCATCACTGCAGGCTGTCACGTCTCACAGCGGGAGTCATAGGCTGGTCTGCTTGATAAACTACTCCTGATCTATAACTGGAGCTGTGTGCTTCCTTTAAAAATAAATCTTGTTTTTCCATACCCCACGTGCTTCTCAGCCTTAGGAGCACTTCATGGATTTAGACTAATTTTGTCTTTTACAGTCATGTTACCTCCAGATTTGTAGTAATCACCCCATTTCTGATGCCAGTGATCCATCCATACCCACTGAAACTGAGCTCTAGTCTGACTTGCTCCTTGAAGTTAGTATAGAGTATTTTGGCTAGACTTTGAAAATGAAGCCCTGACCACAATGCATAATGACCTCAGTAGACACTGAAGAGTTTCTTTGCATCAGGCAGGTGACAAGTATCTATCTCATTTTCAAAGTCCACATAGATTTGTGCCAGATTGTAGGTTGACAAATCACTTTTTCACTAGCTCATGTGGCAAGACTTTTCACCTTGTAAAAATACTAGTGAGAGACCCATAGTTACCACATAATTGGCCAGTCATTGAGACTCAGGCAACATTTGGATAATTTAACAAAACTATCATCTGAGTCATCAAAGTACATAATTTTTACTTATTATACAAATAGTGGATTCGCTAAAGTGCTTAGACCAACTAAGTTGCTCCCATTGAAAAACAGAGTGATTTTATTCGTAAGAGTATATCAAGATAAACTTCTTGTAGCCTCTAAACAGCACTGCTTAGAAAAGTGCAGCTTCATTGCTTTGAATATCCTCCCAGAAGTCCTCGCAGTTCAGATGCACACCACCAAAACATGAAACACATGTGTTTGCATGGAAGGTAGGCTCTGGGGTCTTCCTATCATAATATGTCTATGATTAATAGTCAACATATGCCCTCTCCACATCCCCTAAAGGAACATACACACACACACACACACACACACACACACACACACACACATGTGTGAGAACTGAATTGAGAGTTTGGGGTATACACCATCCCTGAGGGTACAGTCTACAGCTCCTAATGCGTGCCGTAGAGCAAGCGTTATATTGTTGACAAGTAATAATTGCTGGTTAGGAATAACAGGGTATCCAACGAGAAGAGGCTCAGAAAAATACACTCTTGCTGGAAGAGTCAAGAACGAGCTCTTCATGGGAAACTATGGGAGACGATTGAAAAAGGACAAGAAGAAAGGAGAATTGTTAAGTCTCCACTTTCTCAGTTTCTGAACTGAACTTTTGCTCACAGCAGGTGAATACAGGCTCCCTCCCACACTGAGACTTCCTCCCCTGCCGGTGTGCAGTCTGTTAAGTAAACAGAGACTTTATACTGAGAAAGGAACATTTCTCTATTTTGGCTATGAGTTGTTATTTTTAAAGCTTCATCCTCCAAACATTTTCCCCTATCCTTGTTTATTTTTTCACTAGAAAGAAGATGAACTACTTTAAAAAAAATTCAACTCCATGACAAGAAGAACCCACTTGTAGTATGTTCTCCCCACTCAATGCCAGTGGAGCCTTTGGTGTGAGCACTGTGTCGGCCCCACGTTGGGCAGCATACCTCTCGAAGTTCCTGCTCTGCTTCTATGGAGCTTCCATGCATCCAGATTTTCATAGTCAAAGCAAAATGCACATGGCAGTTTTTTTCTGACTCCTTCAAGTTAAAAGGCCAGCCTCTCCCTTGACATATCCATGTATTTATCAGTATATCTATAGGTAATACTTAAAGGTGGTCCTTACTGTGTGCCACACTCCATTCCATGAACTTTACATAAAAAACCTCATTTCACTTTATTTGGGAACAGGATGACAATTGCTTCAATATTGAGATGGGTTGAATCTGGGGAGACTGACGTTAGATGCAAAAAACTCTCTTTCTAGACCTTTTCCTGTGTCTTGCACCTGGCTTTCTCCTTGTCTGTCTTGTTCCCATTCTAGATCTCTTTATTGACAGTGCCCATGGCTTTCTTCTCGGTACTCTAATGTTGAGCATAAGGACTAGTATGTAATAGGCTCTCAGTAAATCTTGTTGAATGAATTAAAGTAGAGCAAGAATTAAAGACAGAGAAGATCTTCTTGTTGGAATTCTTTCTTTGGGTTGGTAAGCAATGTGATTTGACGTAACAATCTCGAGTCCTAATCCCCTCATTTGGAAAATGGAAATAATAATGCTAATCTTAGAGGTCACTCGTAAGAAGTATATGAATATATCAGAAGTAATCAACATTTTTTAAGTCAAAGAAAAGAACATCTGTGGAAAAGATGGAAAACTAATGAGCTACTTGAAAAAATATTAATTGGATCTTTTTCTCATACCTTACACCAAAATAAATCCCCCAAAATGGTTGCGCAACATTGTGAATATACTGAAATCCATTGATTCACACTCTTTAAATGGGCAAATGATATGTTATGTGGTTATCTTTCAATAAAATTGTTATACAAATGAATAAACCCCAGAAGATCAAAAATTTAAACATGAAAACATGGAAGTATACTAGAAGGAAATATAAGATAATTTTTATATGTTATGTTATATATATTTATATGTAAATTTTTTATTTGTCTTTGCTTTTAAAAGCAAGACGTAATGTTCTAGAGCCATAAATGAAACATTCGGTAAATTTAATTCTCTATTAAATGTTTTGCAGAAGAAAATACCAGAAAAAAAACAGAAGAAAAAACAAAACAAAAAAAACCCCTAAGAAAAACAATTAAAAATACATATGACAAATGGCCTATTACTATAGTATTTAAAGAACTCTTAAAAATCTATGTGACAATGACATATAACAGAAAAATATGTGCAAAGGACAAGAGCAGGCAGTTTAGAGAAAGCCTATACGAATATATTCTCTTATCAACAGTCTATTGTATAAGCTATTTGAAAGCAATGTTTGAACTATCAAAATTTAAAATTCATAAGCCCTTTTATCTAGCAATTCTATTTCTAAGAATTTATTCTATAGCTATCTGTACACGTATCCAACGACATAAACACAAGGATAGTCATTGAATGAAATGTTTTTAACGACAAAATACTTGAAAAGAAAGAAATGTCACCCAAGAAAGAAGTGATTAAGGAAAGTTTAGCATTCTGTTCAGTGAAAACATACTGAGCTGTCAAAAAAAGTTGATGGAGAACTCCAAGATCTATTAACTAGAAACAAAACAAGGTGCTAAACAATGTGTTTAGTTTTAATTTATTTATTTTAATTGTTTATATATTTCACAAATCTATATCTGTGCATGCATAAAATATTTTAACTTCTTTCTAACCCCCTCAAACACATCATGCCAAAATTCAACCTGTGATTAAAAAAAAAAAAAAAAAATGAATGAATTCCTTTCGTGTGTAGTATCTCATTCAAATTCTTCAACAACCCTATGGAAAAGATATAGACACATGTTTTTAAGTACTGCATGTTATGAACCTTTGGTTTGCTTATTTAATAGTTGCAACTACTAATGTTAAATTCTTGATGCCAAGGTTAAAAGCCTGGACTTCTAAAAATGTCATGATCTGACATTTTTCTGTTTTCCCAGATTAATCTGCCACCTCCTGACTTCCAACACACTGCTCTATGTTCTTTCATGCTCCTCCTCAGATGTTTAGGACCCTCTTCCAAGGAGGCATTCGCACCTCTGCTTGATGAAACCCTACATTATCTTAAAGCGTCCACTCGAATGCCACCTACTAGGCGAATCCTTACATACCATCCCCTGCAACACCAAGGGACTCAGCCCAACCATAGCCCATAGTTATTGTAGTTGTTCTTGTACTTCAAAAGTACCACGAAACACATCTATCAGGACTTGTTATATTAGTTGAAGGCCATGAGCATCTTGAGCCGAGGCCATGTTTTTATTCCCAGAACTACCACATTGTCTAGAATATAGTAGCAGATCAATATACGTGTATTAGATAAATCATTTATCCAAATCTTCATCATTTTCAATTACCCATAGGTTGAAGAATTCCATATTTAACATGGCAGACTTGAGGACTGAACTATCTACCTCTTCTAAGAAGTTGAAATGAGAATGTTTTATTGATGGGAAATTATATTTTTGTTTTGCCTTCTGGAATTCAAATGAATGTTCATACTCCATGAAGACAATGGCTGATAGTTTTTTGTTAAAGATTTAGAACCAGTGGATTTTTATGAATGTGAACCCTTTCATGTCTTGTGGAAGATTTTCTATTTTTTAATCTTTTTATTTGTTTTTGCTATGTTTTCACAGGAACCAGGGAAAATGTGTAGAGGGCATGGTGGAGATCTTCGACATGTTACTGGCCACATCATCTCGGTTCCGCATGATGAATCTGCAGGGAGAGGAGTTTGTGTGCCTCAAATCTATTATTTTGCTTAATTCTGGTGAGTTGATAACATGAGAGAACTCAATGCTGGATTAAACATTTATTTGTATTTTTCAACCAGATACAATCTACCCACTCCAAAGGCATAATGTCATAAATAGAAAGAAACTACTGACACACATTTAAAATAACTTACCAGCATTGCAGATTCCTTATAGAGGTAGAACCATGCTAGCCGAATAGACGCATGAAAAATTGTAATTTGGCATTAAATCAAATGGCCTTTGAGCTGAAATTTTTGTATGCTTTCACAGATATGAGGATGTTTTTGTTCAAATGGTACATGTATATAGACATATGTTAGTTGATAGTTATATTATGTCTGAAAATAAGTAGACCAAGTAACTCTGCTAAGAAATTGTGACCAATTCCAGGCTCCAGATAGTAAAGAAAGAGGGTTATTTGAGACAGACCATGTTTCTGGTCGAAACTGATTAGCTAAAAATATAGTTGGCTTAGAGATAGAAAAACCTGTTTCTAAAACAGAAGAATGTGGAATGCAATAAATTGTCCAGCTGACAGAGCATTTTCCATTTGCTCTATGAAGTCTAATTCTACTGCCCCTTCGTATTTATTTACTTGAGAAAGCTTAGCTAAGAGCAACATCTGGTTTTTTTTGTTTGTTTGTTTTGTTTTTTAATGTAGTGAGGTTGGCTGTTGTATAAAGAAAGAGTCACTCTATGTCACCCAGATGGAAACTATGGTTCAGCCTGATTTAGTGCACTGACTCCTCCCAGCCTCTTGGTATTTGGATCTAAGCTCTAGCTCTACAGCCTCTGGGACCTAAAGCTCACATTGGGTATCAGCTGTACAGCAGCTCCCCTTAAGCTCCACCTTTCCCCCTGGCTCTAACTCCACTTTGTGCCTCATTCCTCATTCTCACATAGAAATCACAGCCATTTTGAAGCCCTGGGCCTGACTTAGTTTCTTATGCCATTAGACATAGTCTCAAATTCTTCAATAGCTCAACTGCAGCTTGTATTGATCACATATATAGAGAATCAGCACTTCCTTGTCTTTGCACGTGTTTTTGTCTCTTTCTGATGAGTGCCAATCCCTTCCCACTTGCCCTAACAATTTTTCATTTTTCTTCCCCACCACTGCTAGGAATGGTGCTGCTTAATGGAATCAGCCCTTCCTTCTCTTTTCTGATGTTTTTGTCTCTTTCTGATGAGTGCTGATCCCTTCCCACCTCCCATGACAATTTTCCACTTCTCTTCCCCACCACCACTAGTAACCTGTGTTGCTTAATGGTTATCACAGTAATCATTCTCACTTATCAACTGATAAATGGAAATCTGTACTATTACACTAGGCAAGGACTGAATTACAGAATGAAGTCCCATGATAAATGATGTGATCCACACTAAGGAAGTGATTACCACTCCATTCAAGTTTCTGGTTCCACTCAAGTGCATTGTGCTTTTCATTTCGGTCATTTGTCCTGTACATTGTAGGGTCCAGATCCCACAATGGCTCTTTATTGGATGAGAGTTCTGGGAGCAGTGCCACTCGGCTACATGGTGCCAGGTCCTGAACCTGTGCCTTCTTCGGTGGAGGGCTGGCGCGTGCTGACAGCTTTCATGTGGGCAATCTGGGAACTTCAGGGAAGGCAGGCCTATTAAGTGTTAAGACTCCCCACCCCGCACTTTTACTAAGAAAAAGTACCCCAGACAGGAAGTAAAATTAGCCAGAGTTGTATGATCCAGATAGTGGATGCTCTGATCTCGATAATAAAAAATATTTCCTCCAGATCCACATAGACTTTTCCTGCATTATTGTTTTGTTTCTGCTCCTATGACAGAGTGAATTTTTTTAACTATTATACAAAAAAAATCAGGATTTTGGCCATCAAAACATTGGATTCATAGACCCAGGGTTTTTACAACCCAGAGGGAAAAACTTTCAGCCCTCACAAGAAAGTATTTTATTAAAGACTGGCACCCAAACCTCAAGACTGTATTTCCCACTGCAGGATTTGGCCCCTGTCTGCCTCCTTCTCAGACTAGTTAAAGTTTCATACTCCGTCCTTGTTCCTTCACTTATTTCTTAGGATCTTCTGTGCACTTCTTTGCTCTTGAAGGGCAGAAACGCTGTTGCAGAAATACAAGGCACTGTATGCTGACATAGTTTACAGTTGTCTTTTTCATGAGATAACACAGCGGCTGGCAGCTCCTCTTTTCTATCAAGGACGGTACTGCTGGCTCAGGAGAGCCGTAAGCAAACAGAAGCTGTTTCTCAACCCTGTACAAAGCAAAACCACTCTCTTCCCTATAAAAGTGAGCTGTGCCGCAGAAAAGTGGATCTGCTGCTGAGCAGGGCTCCTTGTGTCTCCTATTGTTCCTGAAAAACAGCATCAAAGAGGGCAAGACTCTGACACACAATGCTGTAGCATTAGGAGCCTTTTTCAAATAAAAAAAGCAACGGGTCATATGAAGCATGTGGTCATACCACAATCAACAATTTTTCCCCACAACTGGAGATAAGTATTTTTCTAAAAGTCCAACCAATTCATGGCTCTGATATGGGGCAGCTTTACCTATCATGAGACCAATTACCAAGTGGCTCTGACTCCAGGAATCTCTGACAGAAGCCAAGCTGGAAACAGTTCAGGAAACCTGAGCTAGAAGATGCCTTTCTGACGCCTGGGAAACAAAACCTCAGTGTATGGAGGAACCCAAGGTTTTGTGTTGAGCCCCAGTCGCCAAGGTCTGAGTAGGCTGGGTTTATATTGGCCCCGATTTTGTGGCCGAGGCACAAGGGGAATTGAAAGGTTGTTGTGAGGACCTGCTCGGAATGTCTTTCTGGAAGTTTGGAGAGGGTCTCTCCAATGCCAAAATTTCCATGGGAAGCCATCTTCACAGCTGCTTGGGAGTGGGAGATATTCGTCATCATTTCTGCCCCATTTAGAATAATTTATTACTTTGCTTGCAAAAACCCAGAATCATCCATAGGACACACATTGTTTATTTTTCCACTCCACACCAAAGGACAGAGGCATTCCTGGTTAATCCAAAGATGCCAACTTCAAGACATTCTGAGAACTAGCTGGGCAGAGCTCAAGTGTAGGGCAAATCGGAACAGAAGCGATGGGCTCAAGGCAAAAGCCCACGAAGCAGCAGCTGTAGAGAAAGGATGGGAGCTGGAGCTGCAAAGCGGGCCATGGTACAGGGTCTGGGCCTGCCCACGGTATCTCTTGTACCCAGTGGGAATTCAGTTTTCCTGTATATCATTCAAATGTTTCTCATTTTTCTAGGCCCAGCTCACTACTCCAGTCCATAATAAATTTCCTCTCTAGACTATTTCAATTCTTAGAGTCACTACCCCACAATCTAGCATTTGGTTAGTTGGTTGATTTCATTCATTTATTAAATAATTCAATGTTTATTGAGTTCCTACTATGGACTTTGTGCCACATACACAAAAAAGAATGTTACTGTTGTGTGGAATTTTTTTCTTTGCATTTTTTATGTTAACCTGGATTTTTCTCTCACTCTTTATGCACATATTTCCTAATCTCCCTATAAACTATTTGTATTTTTTTTGATTCCTCACAGTCTATTTAGCCTGTGGACTGTCAACAGATGTTACATCATTCAGTCATTTAATAGATGCTTATTTGCTAGACATGGCCAGGAGGACCTGGAAAGTCCTCATTTTTCCCATCTGTTCTTACCATTCTGAAATGTATCATGCTCTTGAGTGCTCCACAGATCTAGATGATATCAAATTATTAAATGGAAAAAGCAAGACCCATCTCCTTGGGTTATTGTGGATAAGGGGGAAATTGTGTATGAAGCGTGTGTTGCAGTTCATGGACCACATTAGGCCCTTAGTCAACAACAGCTATCATCATCACCGATGAGAATCTCTGGCTTAAATGGAGTAGGTTCATGCCTTTTTTTCAGTGTAATGAAGTGTTTTAGCTTAAAGGCCTTTAGCAAGGCTTACAATACAAAAATGTGGGGACTCCAGTGTAACACCAACAATAGAGACCACCATAGCTGTTATCCTGAGACTGTTAATTATGCCACGTAATTAGATTTAGAGAAAATTGAGAGCAACATTTATCTTGTGGAAAAGAATTGATTGTGATTGGAACTTACTGTTGAGAGACCTTGATGAAAACTCTCTGGTGAACTGCTGTGGCGTCTCATAGGTAGGCACATCATTCATCAGTGGGCTGTGGTTTTGCTTAACCTCATAACCCCTCAGAACCCACTTCTATCAGAAAACCACGCTTTCAGTGAATGTTCCTCAAGGCTCAGAAAAATTCATATGTCAAAGCTTTCTATGTAAAAATCTATACTCTCTAATAAATATTTGGTTTGGCCTTCACATTCAATTTAATAATGATTTCTACCTCTTTTCCGAACCCCTTTGACCACAGTTCTATATATTTAATTCTGAAGAGCCTCATGCACATCTCGCCCTGGTAACTTTATCTATTTCTCTCCCTGGAGAACCAGCCAGACCGTGATTCCAGCCCTCTGTCCTCTCTTCAACCGCAGTTCCTCTTTTTCTCTCCCGACTCCACAAACCTCCAGTTACCCAGGTGCCCTCTGTGTGCTGCTAGCTTCTGCATCACTGTTAGCAGGGCCACTTGTTCCCCTGGGTATGTCTTATGCTCTTGAAGTGCTGTAGCCTTGCTCATCTGTTCATCCAAAACTGATCCTCAGACAACGTTTCTCTTTCAATTGATTGAATAATAAAGGGGAATACGGGTCAAAATTCATAGACATTTAAATACCCCACGTGAAAAGTTAAGGGAAAACAAGATAGGAGAAAGAATTATGGCAACATCTCTAAAATGTGTACTTTAGTGTTTAGCAAAAATGGGACTATGGAATGTCAAACAGGAACATATATGTTAAACATAAACACGAAGCAGTGCCAGCTGCTGTCTGCCATCTAGTCATGCTTTGTTAATGTGGCATGTCTTGCCATGATGGTGCCCTCGTGAAACGAAGGATGCTGAAGCCGATGCCATTCTGTTTG